CTTGGGGCGGCGCGCGCGGGCGCTGCGAGAGCAGCGGACGGCTGCGCGTGGTTCTCTGCTTGTGTTGCAATCAAAGCATACATTGATCAAGGTACTGCGGGTCGGTGCAGTGGCAGTGTGAGGCCTGCCCTGCCGTGCACATCACAGCTGCCAACACTTTGTTGTGCCCCACACACGAGACACGCGCTTGGCCAGACAGCCTGCACATGTCAAAGTTGGTAATTGACATGGTGCGCGCGGCAGACACGCTGCGCAAGACGTGAGGTTGCTGTGCTGTGAACCTCTTCTTTACAGCAGTGATCATGGACAAATTCTCAGCACTGCAGTCAAACCTCAGAGGCATGCGGCCATGGTGGACACGTGTGGGTCAAGCCGAGCACATGCATGTGATTCCAGTAGCATGAAACCAGCAAAATTCCTTTGCAACAACGCAGACTGGCAAACAACTTTTGGAGCGTGAGGAGCATATTGAAGCATGCAGCCAGCAACCGCAAAAACAACGTTGCTACGCATGCGCCCTGCCGCTCCTCCGCGAGAGGCCGTCACTCTCTTCGCGCGCGCGGTCGCTCCCCTCGTCCGCAGCCCGCTCCCGCTCCTGCGCCGTCGCCGGCCGCGCGCGCTGCAGCGCAGACAGCCCCTCCAGCGTGTCCACGTCAGCGGCGCCCTGCGGCCACCCCCCGCGCAGCCCCACGGCCGGCCGGCGCGCCCACAAAGCAGATACCAAGCTGCTGCTCTCGCCGTCTCCGCTGCCGCCGCCGCCGTCGCCGCCGCCGCCGCTGCGCGCCGGCGCTCGAGCAGCTTGCGCCGGGCCCTCTTTGTGGTCACCGCCGCCGCCGCCGCTGCTCTCGCCGCCAGCCGCCGTCTCGACAGGGGCCACTGCCTTTCCGAGCAGCAGGTCCGCCGACAGCTTTGCCAAAACCGGCGCCAGCTGGAAGGACGGCAGCCCGCCGCCTGCCGTCGAGCCGCCGCCGCTCGCGCCGCAGCACACCGCCAGGCGGCCGGCGTCCAAGGCGGGGTGGAAGCCGACCGCCGGGAGGCCGTCTGCGCAGGCGGTCAGCAGGTGGGACCGCAGACGCCGCCTCGCGCGGCGCGGCGCCGCCGCCGGCCCTCGGTCCGCGCCGCTGCGGCCGCCTTCACCCCCGGCCGAATCCTCATCGCCGTCCTCGTCCTGCCCAGCAAATGGCTCCCAGGCCACATCCCGTACCAGAGCAGCCGCCGCCGCCTCCAAAACCCCCGCGCCCGGCCGCGCGTCCGCCGCCGCCCACCCAAACGCGCCCCCGGCCGCCACGCGGCGCCCCTGCCACGACAGCTGCCCGAGCCCGGCGCGCGCGCCGCCGGGCAGGGACGGCAGGCCGTAGCAGGGCTGCAGCCGCGCGGCGCCCGCGGCGGCCGAGCCCCAGAACTGCCAGAGCGGCAGCTTTGACGCCTCGCTGCCGGCCAGCCAGCCGCCGACGACGACCTCCCTCACCTGAGGGCGTTTCAAAGGCGCGGCCGCGTCCGGTGCGTCGGCGCCGTCAGCCACGAGCAAACACGCGCGGGCAAGACGGCGCGCGGCGCGCGGCCGCGCAACCACACACAACACGTGCCCGCGAGCGCCGTAAAGCACGGCAGCCAGGCAAGACACCCGGCAATAAAGCGTAAGCATGGCGCTGGCAGGTCAACACGGGAAAGTCCCCACCTCCAAGTCCGACTGCAGTCCAAACAGCTCAAGGCACTCAGGCGCCCACGCCGCCCCCTGGGGCGCCAGCAGCAGCCGCTCCGCCTCGAAGACGGACAGGCTGTCCGGCAGCAGCGCGCTGGACGCCTCGACGCGGAAGAAGGCGCCGCCGGCGTCGCGCCAGCCGCGGAGGCGGAGGCGCTCCTGGGGGGCCGGGTTGGGGCGGGTGCAGGGGGGGGTAGGGGC